TGTTCTCACTCATAGGTGGGAATTGAACAATGAGAACACTTGGACACAGGGTGGGGAACATCACACACTGGGGCCTGTCGGGGGTGGGGAGCTGGGGGAGGGATAGCAGAAATATCTAATGTAAATAACGAATTAATGGGTGCAGCAAACCAACATGGCACATGTATACCTATGTAACAAACCTGCATGTCGTGCACACGTACCCTAGAACTTAAAGTATAATAAATAAATAAAAAAAAAAAAAAGAAAGAAAGACATCTTAGGGATAAATCCAGTCCAACTTCTACAACGTATAAATTTCTATCACAGCACCTGTAACACTTAAACTGTTTCTTTACTAGACTGAAGACCCTTGAAAGCAGTGAGGTGACTAACTGGGCTTTTTATTCTTGGTACTTAGCATAGTACCCGACTCATAGTAGACACGCAACAAATGTTGCACACATGAGTGTATCAACCATTGCATACTGAGGTTCCTTCCACAAAAATCTCCCAAGTGATAGTCCAGACTGTACTCAAGCACTTCACAAATGGGCTTTCTTTCTTTACTTTCCAGGGCAGTCCATCCAATCTCTGATCCTTTCTAACTGTACATAGGTTGAATTGTAATATCAAATATAATGTAATCTTGTAGAGATTGTAATGTAATCTCATAGAAAAAAAACTTTCCTATGATTATAACGACCAAATTTTCCAGATCAAAAATAGGAATTCATGGTCAGACAGAGGATATTTGGCCACTCCCCAGTCAATATACATACATTCAACCCTCCTGCAAAATCCATTTTAAGAAGTTAAACAGATGGTAACCAGCCCAAAAAGTCTTCACCTTTTCACCTTATTAAAGCACACCTCTATTAATACATGTGTGGATCATTCCTGTGTCAATGGAGGCTCTGAATAACTCCATGAGCTTTCACACAGTCACTGGAGTTTATACAAGGGATCCAAATAAGTGAAACATGTGCCTCGCCAGGAAAGCCACATGGAAGTACTATTTCTTTTCTTTTTTGACATGGAGTCTCGCTCTGTTGCTCAGGCTGGAGTGTAGTGGCACGATCTCAGCTCACTGCAACCTCTGCCTCCCAGGTTTTTAAGCAATTCTCTGGCTCAGCCTCCGCAGCAGCCGGGATTACAGGCGTGTGCCACCACACCTGGCTAGTTTTTTGTGTTTTTAGTAGAGACAAGGTTTCACCATCTTGGCCAGGCTGGTCTTGAACTCCTGACCTTGTGATCCACCCGCCTTGGCCTCCCAAAGTGCTGGAATTACAGGCATGAGCCACTGCGCCCAGCCTGAAGCATTGCTTAACCTTCCCAGGAAGATTTTTAATTACCATGGTTAAAAAAAAATTAGAAAATAAAGAAAAGTTGAGAAAATAAAGACATCCAAAATTCCACTCCTCAGTCCTAGGCAGATATGTCTGTGTCCTCGTTCCTATAAAGAGCCCTATTACAATCATTTCAGGTTGTTTAAGGTAACTGTTAAGATGTAAGTTTTCATTGCCAACCTGACAGGTTGGTGCCAACTTGTTATCCCTGAAGTATGGCGTAACGCCTGGAACTTAGCAGATACTTCACAGGTATGAAGATATAAACATAATTAAGAAAATATAACTAACTGTTAATTTAAATTTTATTAGTGCTGGTATTGGTAGTCCTGTAAATACAGTCAGAAGAATTCTCTCAATAGATGTTGGCTAACAGATTATTAAAAATTCTGCTACTCTTTTTCTTTTGGTCCTGCTTCTACTTTGTGCATTATTTTAAACCCCCTTTCCTCTTCTCGATCTCTAAGAAATAAGCCAATTAGGAAAGTCTTTCCGTATGTTGGCAATGCCCTGGTGTAGGGACAGAAGACTGGTGTAAGGTGTAATCTCCTGGCACGAGGGATGGAACACAAGTCTAGTCTACCAGCATCTGACTCTTCATGGATTCTTCCTTTCCTGAGGCTTAGTCACCTCAGTACAAAAAGCTAAAATAATATTCCCTCTGCTTGTTCCATGGAGTTGCAGTTGAGATCAAATTGGGAAGTATTCTGTAAAATGTAAATGTAAGGTAATATGGTAGACAGCTCTAAAATAGTTCCCAATGACCCAGATGTGTCTTCTGGTATTCACACCCTCATATAGACCCTCGTACATCGTCCAGGGTTGGTCTGTGTGACTGACAGAATACGGCAGAAGCGATGGTATGCCCCTTCTGAGACAGATCAGACAAGACACTGTGGCTTCTACCTTGGTGGGGATGCATTCCCGTCACCTCTCTTCCCCATCTCTGTCTCCTCCTCACCTCACTCACTGGGAAAGCCAGATGGAGAGGCCCAAATGGCGAGGAACTAGAGCCTCTGGCTAACAGCCAGTAAGGAACTGAGGCCTGCCAACAGTCATGGGAGTGAGCTTGGAAGTGGATCTTCCCTTTCCAGCCAAACTTTTAGCTGATTTTAACCCTGGCTGAGAGCTTCACGACCTCTTCATGAGAGACCACGCATGAGCTAGAACCACTGAACTAAGCCACTCCTGCATTTCTAGCTCCAAGAAATTGTGTGAAATAATGACTCTTGTTTAACGATGCTGAATTTGGGCTAATTTGGTACATAGCAATAGCAATGGATAACATATGGGTGATGTTACTAGGCCCAGCCACATTTATACTGTTTCTAAAGGTGGTATTAAAATGAAGCACTGGCTGGGCACAGTGTCTCATGTCTATAATACCAAGACTTTGGGAGGCTGAGACAGGAGAATCTCTGGATCCCAGCAGTTTGAGACCAGTCTGGGCAACACAGTGGGACCCCGTCTTACAAAAGATTAAAAAATTAGCCAGGTGTAGGAGCTCACACCTGTAATCCCAGCACTTTGGGAGGCCGATGTGGGAGGACCACTTGAACACAGGAATTTGAGACCAGTCTGGGCAACATGGCAAAAGCTGTCTCTACAAAACAACAACAAAATGAGCTGGGTGTGGTGACTCATGCCTGTAGTCCTAGTGACTTGGGACGCTGGCATGGGAGGATCACTTGAGCCCAGGAGCTTACAGTAAGGTATGATCGTTCCACTGTGGTACAGCCTGGGTGACTGAGGAAGACCTTGCCTCTAAAATAGAAACAAAAAACTTAGAAATAAGTACACAATTGATGCAGCTGACATTTCATTAGAGACTTTCAATTAATACAAAAAAATTAGCCGGGCGTAGTGGTGGGTGCCTGTAATCCCAGCTACTTGGGAGGCTAAGGCAGGAGAATCACTTGAACCCAGAGGTGGAGGTTGCAGTGAGCCGCGATCGCACCACTGCGCTCCAACCTGAGACTCTGTCTCAATAAATAAATAAATAAATAGAAAAATAATTCAAAGATATCTAAACATAAGGTCAAACATCACGTACATGAATGCAAGCCTATCAATAACTTGTCAGAGAAAACACTGCAGTAGTGTAAGAGAACCATGAGCACAATCTTTGTGAATAGGACAGCATCGAGAGAGGGCAAAAAATACCAGGAGAAATGGAGCAAAGGCTTTAGAAAGCCTCCATGAAGGAAGGCACACCAGAATGCTGCTGGAAACATGCTAGAGCAAAAGTTAGTACACAACATAACAGAGTTAAAGAAGAAAGTGAACCTGGGAAGGTGGAAAGAGGGGATGAATGGAAAGAGGAAAGGTGGGGTGGGAGAAAGGATGGAGCAGGGAGGGAGGGAGTTAGCAGCTACCTACCTCTCGCCCACATGATAGCTTTGTACAATTTGGAAAAGAACGCCCTTCCAAAAGGAAACAGCCCTGTGCCAAGATGCACAGTTTAGAAAGCAAAGTCTGGGGTGGATTTCAGTCCTAATTTGTTTCCTGGCTAGATTCCTTTATGCCGTGAACAACCTGCCTACTATACAAAGCAGTCCTGGGAAAGAGGGACCTGCTAACTAACTCTGGTGAAGAAGCAGGCAGGCCTTTGTTTCCCTGTTTTGGAGCACAGGCAAATTTCTCAGAACTGTACACAAAATGAATTTTCACTGGTATCTTTTCCCACTGTTTTGCACCTGATGTGGAATTGTGTTCTAACAGAAAACATTTCAGTTTGGGGAACAATGCTGTTTCTGGTGAGTTGCGGGAAGGGGACTGCTAGATGATTATAGAATTTAAGGAAACCTGGTAGCTCCCATCACATAAGGATAGATGTACCTGTGGGTGCCTAAGATTTGTGTTCACAGTTACTTATGTAGCCTGGGGGTTTTTCATGGCTTTGCTTGGCCGTCTCTGGCTTTTCTGGGGCTCCTCCTCACATAAGTCACCGGGGGCACCACTGCTTACTGGTAACAGGGTAACAGGCTTCTCCAGCTGAACGCCCAAAACTGAGAATACACAATAGTGGTTCCTCAAAAGTTTCCTTTGCAGAAGACCTGTATCATAAATGCTGCCTCTACCTGCTTGTTAAAATGAGGATTCCTGAGCACGCTCTTTCCCAGACCTACTAAAACAAAAGTTCTGGAAGTGAGGCCTGGAATTCTGCATTTTGAACAGTGGCCATCAATGTTAGAAAACAATGGTTTAACAGGAATATGAAATATGAGAAATTCCTGGGTGGACTTTATGAAAGAGAAAGGGAACTAAAGACTCAGGCCTAGCAATAGTGTAGTGTAAAGAACAAACCATGACTGGTTAAATATATGCCTTCCTCAGTAAAGTATAGTAAAAATTGCTAGAAACTTTAAAAAATTGTAGCATCTATAAACACACATAGATAACTAGTGCTTGTAGTCTAATTAAAAATGTTATTCCAAAATTAGGTTATAATGGTATTTCATGTATTATGTTTTATATAATAAAAGAAGACCTCACTTTTTGAAAAATTTCATATTGGAGGGTTGACTATAGAACTTAATACAAAATCACTCCCTGGGCCATTTGCAAAATTTAGTCCTCTGCTGAAAAATCTTAGTTGATTAACTGTTAGTCCGAATCTTAATAGCACCTTGAGTGGATAACAGAGAATAATAACAGGAACAAATTTCTTACCGCTGTAAGGGGTCCTTCTGCCTGTGCCTCCATTAGACTTGTGGGCGTCGCTGCAATAAACTGACTAGCAGCTCCAGGCTGGAGTTCCAGCCTATCTGTATACTGTTCCGAAGCAGCAGTAGGAGGACCCTCTGCAGAAAGTGCTAAGACCACACCTGAGGTTTCCTTCTTTAAATGATCATTTTCTGCCCAAGGACCTAACTGGAGCTTTTCATCTTGAGGTGATGCCTCCAGGACTTGAAGTACTTCAGGCTCCTCATCAGAAGGACTTCCAGTTGTTTTATGTCCTACAGCCTCATTTGTCCTAAAATCCTGAAGGTCCTGCTCCTTGTCCACAATCACCCATTCTTTGGAATCAATCTCTTGCTTGCAAGAGCTCAGGTTAACGGCTATAAATCCATTGCTGCCACCACCATCTGCCTGCTCAGGGGTGTTGGCAGAAGCAGGCTTGGAGACATCTGGAAGATATTCTTCATCATAGTGCCAGATATGGTCAGTACGGGACACAGCAGGAACACAAGGCTTATGCAGCAGAGCAGGGAGAATAGATTCTTTTCCTGCACTGGTATCTTTCTGCATTTTCTCCAGGCTTAAGGAAATGGAAAGAAGTTACTCAATTTTCCTAAGGAAACATTTATTAGATAATATATAAGCACCATACAGAACTAATATGGACACAAAGATGAGAGAAAAAAAGATGGATAAAGCATAAGGAAAGTTTCACAGCATTGATAATGTTCTTCTCTACCTGCCACATCCTGCTTTGGAGGATGGAGTTCACTTCCTTCCTCAGCAAGGCCCTTTTTAGTTCCCTTCTTTTGTCAAACCAACTTTTTATTGAACTACGCTTTTATCCCTATTGTATGTTGATACTTATTCTCAATATGAGCCACAACTCAAAATGTGTAAACCAATGCCTCATCCATCCCTTTGATCATGTGAGCATGCAGACATGTGCTTACATAACATAGCTATGAATGATTACCACGTGAGGAAGAACACACATATGTGAAGGATTGTTTAAAATGGAAGCTAGATTGGAGTAGGCCAGAAGTGGCTGAATTGTCTTCGGACACAGTAATTACCATGTTAGTCAAATTCACAGTCCCTCTAACCTAATATTTCATTACCAATAGTAGCCACCAGAGACGTACCACTGAAGGGTGTGACTACTATTAAAGGAAATTAGGTCTTAATACTGTGAATACTGTTAAAGCCTTCTATAACTCATAAATATATCCCACACTTTTTTCATTTCTGTCTTCTGTCATCAAAATTTGTTGTAGGGATAATGTGCCTCATAACTATGCACTACAATCTTTACCTATGTATAGATCTCTCAAGTTTCACCTTCTTTTCTCTCTAGGTAGACTGTGAACTCTCGAGGGCAAGCATGATATACTTATTGGTATCTATTTTCCTACAGTATTTTACTCCGAGAAGGTCTTCACTAAAGTGAATTGAACTGACTGTCTCTTGTATATAAATCACTTTTCCCCTCCTTTATGTATTCCCCTCATCTCCGCCTAATGCCACGTTTATCCTGCCGTCTCCAATACTACACTGTTGTGTGGAAGAGATTGCTTTCCAAACAAAGTTACTGTAAAAAATGCTCATTTAACTTGTTCCTAGTGTTAGGAAGTTATCAGCTCTTACTGCTCAGCTTCCAAAGCCAAAGGATATGCTATAGAATTTATAATAATTAAGAATCAGGGCAATAATAATTAAAAATAAGGATGAAAATTAGAGTTTAACAGAATCAGTGTTACAAAAATGCAAGAATTTCTTATTTGAAAGACTTTATATAACAGAAATATACAACAACAACAAAACAATAACAATGGTACCTTAGAAGCTTTAAAAAGAAAAATAAACTATTTTATACCAGGTCTCAAGGAACTTGTCAGTGTCTGGCTTTGGCTCCAGGGTCAGACGTTTTTCCAGCTCAAAGCTGTGGATGGAACGTAACTTTCGCACCAAGGGAATATCTCGGTCTGGCTGAGTAATCTCTGAGCGGACGCGAATTGGTGACCCAAGGCTTGGAGCATTGAGAAGACCATTTGCCTGGCCATGGCTGTTCTCCTCTTCAGTAGCAGCCTATCCAACATATAAAATAAACCCATGAAAAACCTTCTAGGCAATACACACGATAGAATCATTGAAGCCTTTCAAAATAATAGCAATAAATGATTAGATGTGTTTTCAGATGATTCGGATATTTTGGCTAGTTTACTTCATTACATTCTTATCTATTAACTCTCCATTAAATGTGTTTTCTTAATTTATACTCAGTTTCAGTATTATTTTAGTTTTTTTTTAATACTTTTGGAACAAAGATAACAATCTAAAAATGTTTAACAGACTTGGCTTTTTGAATTATGTCTGACTTGAGGCTTGTAGGACCCCATTCCACTAACCTAAAACTGAAACCTGGAAAGGATGTTCTCTTTGAGACATAAGTGGTCTCACAAGTTAGGAGAGACTGCCAAGTCTCAGTCGCTATACCTCTTTTCTCCTTCCTCCTCTAAAAAACAAAAAACAACATATGTATACTTGTGCCAAAAAAGCCTGGGGGCCAGACTACTAAGGAGCTGAGGCAGGGAAGGAGGATGAGCGTGAGGCAGCCCAGGGGGTGGGACTGTTTAAGTACAGGTGCCTACGGCAGCACATTATCAGGGAAATTAAGCCTCATATCAGGAGTGTGGTGACAGAGGGAAGTCTGGGACATCTACTCTGATTAGAGACTCTCAAGAGGATGCCCAATTGGCTCAAATTGGTGATATACTCAGGGTAGCAGCAGAAACACAAGCCAGCCTTCCCTGAAGGAAGGTTTCCCCAAACCCCAATTTAGGTCTCCAGAACTCCCATCAATTATTAATTAATTAGCCAAAAAAAAAAAAAAGAGAGAGAATCAATACAAGAGAAGGCATGCTACCATGACTGACACAACAGAAATAATAGTCAAAATTAAGAAAAACATTTAAAACTCCCAAAGATTTCAGATATTGAACTGGTTTCAATACAAAATATAGACCAGCTATGCACAAATGTTTAAATAAATAAAGGTTATTATAACAAAGATCAACAAAGGGTTATTTGGAATTAAATGACTGATTAACTTAATATTTAATATTCAATTAACAAGTTAAACAGCAAGTTAGCAAAAAAAAAAAAAAAAAAAGGTTAAAATTATTAATTAGTGAAGCAGAAGACACAGCCAAAGAAATTACCTAGAATAAAAAACAGCAAGATAGGCCTGGCATGGTGGCTCACATCTGTAACCCCAGCACTTTGGGAGGCCGAGGAGGATGGGTCACAAGGTCAGGAGTTCCAGACCAGCCTGGCCAACATAGTGAAACCCCATCTCTACTAAAAATACAAAAAAACAAATTAGCTGGGTGTGGTGGCGCAGGCCTGTAATCCCACTCGGGAGCCTGAGGCAGGAGAATCACTTGAACCCAGGAGACGGAGGTTGCAGTGAGCCGAGATCGTGCCATTGCACTCCGGCCTAGGCAACAGACCAAGATTCCATTTCAAAAAAAGAAACAAAAAAAAACCCAGCAAAAAGAAAATTACGAAAAAAGATATTAAGAGATATGATGGATACAATAAAAAGCCATAATATATGTCTAACTGGAGTCCTAGAAAGAGATAACAGAAAGAATGAAGAGGTAGTAACATTTAGATACAGAATGGCTATTATTTCCCAGAACATATTTTTTATACAAAAATAGGAATAAAAACATTCAAGGGACACAAGATATCCCAAGCAAGATAAACAAAAAGAAATATATGCCTAGAAACATAGTTAAAATGCAGAACACCACAGACAAGAACAAGAACTAAAAAGTAGCTGGAAAGGAAAGATGAAGGTGGGGAAAACAATCACTTAAAAAGAAAAAAACAATTAGAATGACAATAAATTTCTGAACACCAATGACTGAAGCCAGAGGAAAAATAATCATCAATAGAAAACTTTATATTTGAGCTGGGCATGGTGGCTCATGCCTGTCATCCCAGCACTTTGGGAGGCTGAGGTGGGTGAATCACTTGAGGTCAAGAGTTCAAGACCAGCCTGGCCAACATGGTGAACCCTGTCTCTAATAAAAATACACACAAAAAATTAGCCAGGTGTGATGGCGCATGCCTGTGGTCCTGGCTACTCGGGAGGCTGAAGCAGGAGAATTGCTTGAACCCAAGAGGTGGTGGTTGAAGTGAGCTGAGACTGCGCCACTGCACTCCAGCCTGGGCAACAGAGCAAAACCCTGTCTCAAAAAAACAGAACAAAACAAAAAACAACTTTATATTCAGCATAAACTGTCTTGAAAGAATGAAGCTAAAATAAGTACATTTATAGATAAATAAATACATTTATAGAAAGAATCCTCTACCAAAAGACCGGAAG